TAGGGACGGCTAGTGCAGATAATGTTCGAGTAGCTTTGCGCGAAATTCAAAGCAACCAAAAAAAAAGCGCAAAGCTACACAATAGGCTATCTATCCACTAAGGGCAATCGAACAATGAAAATTAGTTTTGTAAGTCCGTAAACTCACCGGTAACCCACTGGGAATCATAAGAGTTCATGGAAATAGATTCCATTATTTCAAATTCCCATACTGACTTTACAGTAGCCTTGTACAGTTTCTGAACAATGTTTTAACTGTCAAATGATATTCTGTAAACTTATATTTATAGCTAAATTAAAGAAAAAATTGTACTTCGAAATTTAAAACATAATAAGTTTTCAATTCATGTAGTTTCCGCGTGGCCACTGTTTGGTGTTTATAATTGTAGCTTAGTGGTAGCTACAGTTGTCTTGCCATTGAATTTTTCATGTTTGTTCTAGATTAGCCTCCGTACAGGAACAGAGAAGCACATCAATGCCTGAGAAATCGCTTTCCGCCGATGACTGTCACACTAATGAGGACGTTCATACTGCTAAAGTAAGGACCATTGTGTAACCGGTCTGTACTCAGAGTGAGTTAACCCTTCCTGTGTTTCTAAACCCTTCACCCACTTCCCTGAAGTTTCAACTATAAGTATGACTGTGTCACTTGATCCTACTCCCTGTTGGTCCTTCACATTCCTGAAGTTTCAACTATAAGTATGACTGTGTCACCTGATTCTACTCCCTGTTGGTCCTTCACTTCTCTGAAGTTTCAACTATAAGTATGACTGTGTCACTTGATACTACTCCCTGTTGGTCCTTCACTTCCCTGAAGTTTCAACTATAAGTATGACTGTGTCACTTCATCCTGCTCCTTGTTGTTCCTGCTGGCTTGGTACTGTTGCGAAGCTACTACAAGCAAGAGATTTAAATCAGACAAGTTTCTTAGGCTCTATTTTTTTCACTACATTATTTTGGGATTGACAGATAGCGTACAGGTTTGTTTGAAATAATACTTGGGTGGGTTATAAAAGTGGCTATCAGTCTCACTATTTGGTTAAGTTAGGCGACGGGTAGTTGTTAACTATTTGTCCTCCCTCTGGTCAACACTTCAAAATTAGGGATGACTACAACTGAACTTTGGGGGCTCTGACGTGGTCGTTTATCTCATGTGACAAATTCGGTGTTGCTTAGGTTGAAAATACTAAATTCTACATTTAAAGAGTAGTTTACCCCAGTAACTACTCACTAACCCTCTGAATTATCCACAAGAGAGCCGAGTGTGGCCTAATGATTATTGTGCTTGGACTATAGATTTGTGGGTTCAACGTTTGCGTCCCGTTACCGCAAAGAGTAAAGAAGAAGAACAAATCGTGCTTGGCACTTGAGTATTCCATCAGACAAGAGTAGCCCAAAAGTTGGCGGTGGACTCTATTTACTAGCTGCCTTTCCTTCAGTCTATCAGTTTAAAATTGTAGAGACGGCTAGCGCAGATATCCCTTGAGTAGCCTTACGAATATCCACAAAAACAAACAAACAATATCCACAAAAACATATTATTTTCTCAAATTCACTTAATATCTCTATCACTAAGATTTTTCCGACTTTTTTCGCTTAAATAGTCGATTTTTTTTTCTAGACGTTAATGTAAAATATCAATATTTTACTGTAGGTCAAGCACTAAACTTGGTACTTAATCAGTTGATCATAATTTTACAAAGATGTCGCATACGGAGAATATTCAATAAATATTTTGAAACATTTTGAAATAATATCTTGTTTGTTTGTTCTTTTTTTCCTACTTTGTATTTTGTTTTTTTATGTCTTTAATCCAGTTTGTATGTGACTCGAAGTAATATCTTGTTTGTTTGTTGTTTTATTTCCTACTTTGTATTTTGTTTTTATGTCTTTAATCCAGCTTGTATGTGACTTGAAGTAATATCTTGTTTGTTTGTTGTTGTTTTCCTACTTTGTATTTTGTTTTTTATGTGTTTAATTCAGTTTGTATGTGACTTGAAGTAATATCTTGTTTGTTTGTTGTTTTTTGTCTTACTTTGTATTTTGTTTTTATGTCTTTAATCCAGCTTGTATGTGACTTGAAGTATTTTTGATGGTTAATCTCAATGTCTTTGCTTTTTTAATTTTTTCTCTCATTTTTATGAAATATTTTATTTCTTGCTTAAGGTTGATTAATTAATCTAATGATTCGGTGAAGACTTTTAAATTGGATTTGAGTTAAACTTAAAAGTTAGATTTGTTATACTTGTTTTTGCATTATTTAATTCATAGATAATCTATAAATGTTTACACTTTCTTCCTGGACTGTTTAAGATGGTTTTATATGTGTTTTATAAGCATTTTGTATGTAATGTTGGAAAGAGGGCATTAATAGATATGGAAAGAGAAAGTTATAGAACGTAAAAGAAAAACAGTCGCTATTTTTTCTTATTTAAACGCCAGAAACTGGGTTTCGATACCCGTGGTGGGCAGAGCACAGATAGCCCATTGCGTAGCTTTGTGCTTGATTCCAAACAAACAAGCCTTATTCAAACATTGTGTCACGATAAAAAGAGTTCAACTTTTCAAAAAAATGTTTAACTCGTAAAAATGTAGATGTCTCTTTTGAAAGTAGTACTGACTTTTCAGAATCGCTATATTCCATACACACTTCCGTATTTTAGCAAGAATTAATTACAAGGAAGGAAAATACAAGTATTGAATGGCGTTTCAGTGATTTTTCCCACAAATAACTTGAGGTTTATGAACTAACAAGTTATTTTACTATGTGCCTCCAGTGGCTCAGCGATAGTAAGCTGTAGAGTTTACACGCAAAAATTCGCGTGGTAGACACAGCGCAGATAAACCATTGTGTAGCTTTGCGTCAAACACAGACAAATGTTATTATTTAAACATAGTCGTATTAGAGATTTTACACCAGCGAAATCTAAACGTAAAAATAAAAATTGTTTTTGCACACACGTGATAGTTTTTCTTTTTTTTTCAGTTTTAACCGGCCACCGTGTAAAAGATCCCTTTTGACTAAGCTCCCACTTCAGAAACAAAATGTCATCTGGTGGGACAGCGGCAAGTTTACGGAATTACAAAGCTAAAATCTGAGGT